CAGGAAGGTGAGCATCACAGAATGCCGGATTGTTAGAACAAAGTGTTCTTGTGATAAGGGAGTACTTGAGTTGAGGCCCAATGTCCAAAAAGATGACTTTTTGTGCTGTGAAAATCAAGGATGGGCGTGTGAAAAATTGTGATACAATTTGTTAGCATAATTACCTCCTTGCCAACGAGCCAACACTTAGTATTGAGGCTTAGTCAACTCAAAGAATCAAACGTAATTGTGGTTATACCTAACTTTAAGATAAGATAGACTATTTTATTTTCCTAACTTTTTAAAAAGATAGTCTCATTCGACCCTCACTATTCAACATGAAATTATGACCTTGTTGAAGTCAGTTTATTTCAGTTGCCTTTGTCCATGATCAATATTCTTAAGTAATGAGACCTCCTGTTGTCCTTTTGTCGGTAGTTGCTTGTCATGTTTTTTTGATGGGCAACAGCAGTGTGAGCAGTAAATGTGTAGGGGTAATGGTAAAACAGGTGCTAGTAGGCAGGAGAGTGCAGAAAAATAAACCAAGGGACATTGAGATTACTTGGAACACAGCGCCTTTCTAGCCAGAGAATATAAATTATGTACACATCCACATAATAATGATCATGGTGTTTTGTGTTCTGCTACTTAATGATATTTTATCGTGAGCATTTTTATCCTTTTGCTAAATCATCTCTGGAAATAAGTTTTAGTATTTTTTCCTCGTTGCACAGCTGTGTTATTACGTTTAATGACCATACGGAGAGAACCTTTCACATCTACCTATTTCTTCATCTGCTGCTCATGAGACGAAAGGTTTGTAGGACTTTCTGACTAGCAGAGGCTGGGAGTTTTGATTACATGACAGAATTTCCCCAAACTCCTCATTTACTCCCCCCCCCCATTTTTATGAATAAATGTTTGTAAAATTTTTATCATAAATTATATTCTGACCACTAACTTTGCTTACTGAATTACCCTACTCTGCCACTGTGTTTCTCACTTTTAACGGATCAGGTAAACTGACCTGGAGGCGTTCGGAGTACAGTTGGTGGGTTTGATAAGCATGCACACCCATGTGGCCTCCGCCCTCCCCAGATGGGGTCAAGAGCATTCTTCTGCTTCCATCACCCCGTTCTCCCTCCTCGTGCTAGCAGGGTGTCTCAGTTGCTCTCCTCCAGGCAGGGCCTCCCAGCTGTGTTGCTGTGTTTGGTCGGATCCAGAGCTTGTCAGGGGGACAGCCACATCAACTGGGGCTGTGGCGGTGGTTGTGTAGCGGTGAAACTCAGTCCCCTCATTGGTCTGGTGTTGCGTTCCTGCCTCAGTGCCCATGACTAGAGCCAGTGCATCAGTCACAGTGTCCCCTCCTTTCTTTCAGATGCTGAGCTTTTAATGCCCCCAAAGATCAACAAACGGGCCCAGTGGAAACTGAGCCTCCTGGAGTGACTGTGGCCCTAGGGCAGAAGACTCTGGCAGAGAGGACGCTTCCACGCCGGACTAGCATTCCGCCAGTGCCCTCCTCGACGCCTGTGCTCCAGCTGGGAACAGTGTTGGGAGCCAGTGAGTCAGACCTCAGCAAGCCCTGAGCTCTATGTGTGTGTGTGTAATGCTTTAATCATTAAAAATTTAAGCCTCAGCCATGATAGTGTCATTTTCTAAAAATTACCGTTCTTTTATAATATGGTTCGAGAGACTGCTCGCACAGTCTGTTTGTGCCTCAGTTCCTCCTTTGTGTATTGGGAGCGATGTTTCATGGTGTCTACCTCAACCATGTGAAGACAAGGAGAATTTCTGGGGAGAGTAGTATAATTCAACACTTGGCTGTCAGTGCTAACATTTAGTCCCATTGAAGTCACTGAAAGGACTTCTTTACCTTGAACTTCAGCAGAATACAAAGTTAAACAACAATACTAAGCCATCCTGTGCTAGCAGCTGATAATTTGTCAAGCCTTACTGCGTGAGGCCAGTTAGTGCTGAGCTGTGCCTCCTGTAGTTTCAAGGGCCACAGGGCCTGTTTTACTGCCTGCATGTTTTCTGCTCGAGAGTTAGCGATGTTGGCATTACAGGAGATTAGGATGTGTGTGCCAGCATCACACACCTTGGGCATGGTAAGCAGTGTGCATGGATGGCCTGTCCAGTTACAATGATTTCATGTCCTCCAAATACAGTACGGCTTTTTGTAACCGATGTTTGCTGCTGGCTGAGCCACTTTATTTGTGGTACCCCATGATTTTGTTCATTTTCTCAAAACTTTCCTTTTTTGGAAGAAACGAGAGTCTCCTTTCCTTTTGGTGAATCTAGAAAAAGCCCAGTTCATTTTGAGACCAGTTTAGTTTTGACTGATCTTGTGGGAAAGCCAAACTTCTCCATGCTTGTTAACACCAGACCCAGGCCGCCACTACGACGTCCAGCATAAGAGGAAGGGCTGCTTTTGACTTTCAGAGGACAAGTTTTCCTGACTTGCAATTTGCAAGGCTTTCTCCTTTATAGCTAAATGTTAGCTATAGAATTTAAGGGTGTTCACTGTATAATTCTTTAACCTTTTCTGAACAGCTAGGATATTTCACAATGAAACATTGAAGAAAAACGCAGAAACAAGGAGGTCTTGCTTCTCTGCGGGAACCCTTGCTGACTCCCTGCTCGCGGACGTGCCGGCCGACAGTGAAGGGGACGGGCGCTCACGGAGCTTTGAAACTAGGCTGTAGTGCCTTCCCTGCAAAATGCAACCTGCTGATGCTGAAACGAACTTGATGAACAGGAAACAGGGCCCACAGTGATGGACTGGAAATGGAAATGTGTGTCTGTATATTTTCATGTACATTTAAATCCCCTAATGCATTGATGCAGCCAGAAAGAATCTGTGTGTGGACGCACATTACTGCCAGTTACTCTCTCTCTTCTGGCCCAAACTGGATTGGAGACGACTGGCAGCATAACAGACCTCCCAGAGGGAAGGCAAAGCCACGGAAGAATTATGGAGTGTGTACGATTATTGCGTATGCAAAGAGGAGAGACTGGCCTCAGTGAGAAATGCCTAACTTGGGGAAACAATTTGTCAAGTGCTAGAAAAGAGTATATAATCTTCCAAAAACTTAAAAGAGTCTGTCCCCAAACCATATCACGCTGCGGGGCAAAGGTCTTCAACTCTTCCCTTGAATTTGTTGTGGCCGATGGCTTGCTCTGGTGCCCCAAACATCAAGCTACAATTAGGATTGTCTCCATCCATCAAAATAGTTTACCCTGACGTCTCTTTAAACCAAGGCCGAAGCTAGTGTTTAACAGCATCGTTGCGCACTGCCACGTTTATTTTCTTATAAAAAGGCTATCTCTGGGTGGGCCTTACAAAGTGGTGAAAAAACTCCATTATTTTAAAATCACATTTCCCACAAATTTTGGAAGCGCTTTTGAATTTGCCCAACGACAACTGAATGTTTATTTTAAGAAAGAAAACGGATGAACTGAGTAAGATCAAGACCACCACCAGGTTGGGAAGCAAAATGAAACATTTTCTCCTCTCGTGCCAGCCCACAGACTCGTGTGCCTGTGTGGAAGGACTACCTGGAACAAGTCCTTGGGAATCTTTAATTTTCCTGCCTTGTGTTTACCAAATTAGTAACTGAAATGGGGATGAGACTTTTAGAGGCTGGATGACCATCATTGTTCAAGAGGCTGGAGACAAGTCAAGGTTAATGTGACATTTGGCAAGTCTGAAGGTCTGCTCTTGTGCCCCATGTCCCTGGAGCTGAGCCCACTCTGCTTCCTGTGCCCTGGCCTGTGCCTCGTTCCCATGGTCAGTCACCCCACGGTCACCGAGCTATGCTTTCCTCCGGCCTGTCTGCTCCGTGGGCCAAGACGCAAGTCACCCTCAACACTGTGGACATTTCTGGTCATGTCATAATTCTTTGCTGTGGGAGCCCATCTGGTGATTTCAGTAGTAAACAAGCCCTCACCCCACATAAAAGAAACTACAATAATCAAAAATATCTACGGACATCAGAGGCCATATGAATCTGGAAGTGACTCTGATTGGAAACCTAAGATGAGTTTTAGCTATTGAACTGTTCATTGGTAATTATTTTTACTAGAACAATTAGGATCTGGTGAAAATTCATCCAAGTAGCTTTTAAGGAATAGGCTACTATTCAGTCTTCTGTTGCTATTTTTCATTTTTAAATGCAATGTCCCATGAGGCTCAGCACGGTGTGGACTCATTCTCCAGAACCAGCACACTGCTCTTCATCAAGATGTTCATCTATTTTTTGTCTTTTGGTGGGGGGTGGTCCTTAACCTGGGGCCCACAGAACCTAAAAGGATCTGAAGATAGAGCACATTTAGTACAATTGGTTTTCTCTGGTCACTTTGCTTAAACTGTGTAAGAGGTAGGTGTCTATAAGATCTCACTGCCATTGCGTGGATTCCGATACATACAGAGTAGAACTGTTCCTCTGGGTTTCCAAGACTAATTCTGTATGTGGAGCTCCTGGTGGTTTCGAACTGCTGACCATGTGGATCATAGCCTACTCGTAATCACTGTGCCACAAGGGCTCCAGATGCAACCATTAGTACTCAGTTTCATGGGGGAGCAAACAAATGGTAACAAATGATGTTTGAACCACAGAGTTTAGAAGCCCATGTTCTTCCCACAATTGTATGCTGCTCACCAGGACAGCATGTCTGCTATCTCCCTCTGTTGTTCAAGCTCTGAATTTGGGAGAGGAGAGAGATTTACACACACACACTCACACACACGAGTCTATTCTCAAAAATGTGTGTTCTCACCACAACCACCCCCAGCATGTATCCCATAGAACCTGCTGGGCCCTGGAAGTGCGTTCGTTCCTGCCCACAAATGAATGCTGTGCTCCTCCGGGCCCCTCCGAGAGAAGCTGGCCTGGGGCAGCCTCCCACGGCATTCGCTGCAGTCCCAGGACCAGGAGCCACCACCTGGAGCCCATTTCAAATCCCTACGCTGTCTCCTAGGGTGAGCTGCAGAATCTACTCAGGTGGGAGAGGCTGGGTGTGGACAACAGCTGTGCCTTGCTATCCTCAAGACCTTGGTGTTGACACCGCAAGATAACTCTTAGCCCACCGTCCAAAAAGAGGACATCTATACCACTGTCTTAAGACGCATGTAATAATCTCGGCATTGGCAGACAGCCCCGCTGAGACATAAGAGAAAACATGGGTCTAGCAGGGGCCAGACATTTTTGTAGGCTGTTCCCAAGCCTTTGGTAATCATTGAAAGGGGTCAGAAGCATTTGCTCTATAATCTAGCTCCTTTGCACTCCCCGTTCCAAGCCAAATGTGACAAAGTATTTCCTAAAATGGGGCAAACTCATGGTAGATCTATTTTCTTCCCAAGAAAACGAGAGTAGCCATCTACATCTGATGCGTGTCTTCCTCCCCTCCCCTCCGCTCCCCGTTTTGCTCTGGCAAATGTATCGTTTTAAGACAGATGCTACTATCTGCGGAGTTGTTCTTCAGAAGGCAGGAAATAAACGCAGGTGAAGGGGAACTTGAGGGTTTAATAGGACGGCAGGGAGTGTGCGGGCTCAGTGCCCGCTGTGCCAGGTGGCTGCTCCCCCAACAAAGCCGGCACGTTGCAGACGTCGGCACCATGCCTCATTGCGGAGCTCAGAAGCATCTTCTGTAGAGGAAGAAAGGCCCGTGCTCGTAGTACTCCGAGCGATGGACCCACAGCGGCTGGAAGCCCTGGAGCGAAGCGAGGATGGAGCCGCCGGTCCACACTGCAGTGTCTCTTTCCGGCAGCACGTTTACTTGGGGCGAGTCGTTGGGACACATGCTGCTGAGCTCCTTCTGCAGGCGGTTGGGGAAACCCCTGAGCATGGTGCTGCCGCCGCAGAGCAGGATGTTCCCCATGAGGTCCCGTTTGAGGGCGACGTCACACTTGTTGAGGCAGGATACAGTCTGTGTGTGCAGCCCCAGCTGCATGGACTTGATCAGAGACGGCTTGAAGAACATCTCTGAGCAGAGGAACCGCTCCTGGCCCAGGGTGATCTCATGCCCATCTGGCAGGGTGTACTGGATCGTGTGCTCGGGAGGTGGCACTTTCTTCTCTGTCAGAGGGTCCAGGGCCACAAAGCAGCATTTCTTCTTGATATCCTCCATGATGTACATCTGGTCCTCGGTGAAGTATTTCCCTGAATGGTTCATCAGGCTCATCAGGTAAGTGGTCAGGTCTGAGCCTGCGTAGTCGAGCCTCCCGGTGATACTGGGCAGAGGATAACCCTCGTAGATGGGGACCACGTAGGACACGCCGTGGCCCACCTCCACCACCAGGCCGGAGGTCCTCCCGTACGAATACATGGACAGGCGGGACTGGTAGGCTATGTGCATGGCCGGCGTGTTGAAGGTTTCGAAGAGCATCTCGGCGTACTTCTCTCGGTTGGTGTGAGGACTCAGGGGAGGGTCTGACACCAAGGCGGCATGCTCATTGGGGGCAATCTTCATCTCATGCCGGAAGAGATATTCCCAGATATCCTGCACTGAATCCCAGTCCACGATGATGCCGTGTCGCAGAGGATTGATGAGCTTGAGGCGGACCTCAGGACAGAGGAGCTCGTGGCCCACAAAGGTCTCTTTACGATTATCCCCGGTTTTGGCCGTCTCCATGTAAGGCTTGCCGACGGTCGATGAGATGACATGGGTAGGCTTCGGCAGGCCGGCAAAGCCACATTTACAGTAGCCTGTGCCCAGGTCCACGACCACCGCCTTGGTCACCTGTGGCTTGGGCTTCTCCATGGCCATGGCAGAGTGCATTGAGTTTCCCGGCATCAGTTGATTCCGACGGACCCACAGTGCTCGCTTGGCAGGGCCGTCCGTTAAGGAGGCAGTCTGGAGGGCGTGGCTCTGGAGGGACACCTGCTCGCTCACCTTGCTGGCAGGCCCGTCCCCTATGACTAACCCCTGGGACTGGGACATCCACATCCTCTCGAGAGACGGCCTGCTCTCAGAAGCTTCCTGACCCCACCAGCTCCAAGGCCCGAAAGGCCCGAAACAGAAGGTAACTTCAGAATTTTCCCAAAGACCACATCACTGATTATGACATCATCCAGTGACCTAGGCCTCTCTAGGGGCTCCCATACGCTGCCCCATGTTGGGCAGCAGTTGCCAACCGGGTTTCTCTTTTTCTAAAAGTTTCAATGAACTAGATTCCTTCCATCGATTCGTATTTAATTGTTTACTATGTGCAAGACAGTTGGGGGATACACAACAGGGGCACATGCACAAAAAGTCTCTGTAGTCGGGGGTGGGGGGAGGGCCTGGGTTGATGGGGAGGCAGACAATACCCCAAATACATACTTGTAGCGAGGCTGGCAGAGTTGGGTGGCTTGAATGGGAGTCCCGAGTAAAGACCCAAAGGGGGGAGGATGGGAGCCCCGGTGCATCTTGGAGAGCAGCGGGTTGCGACAAGTTGGTGCAGGGGTCAGCAACTTCGAACCCCCGGGGTGCAGAATTTAGCTTCTGGCTTGTGTGCAAATGACACTATTGGAACACAGCCCCCCGTATTAACCTGTTGCTGACGGCTGCTCTGACACAGAGACGTTGGGTTTGAGTTGTTGCCTTGGAAACTGTGGCCCCCACAGACAAAAAACACACAGAATATGACACTTTCCAGACCAAGTGCGCCCATGCTTGAGTCGGAGGATTGGCAGGAAAAGCAGTGTGGCAGGACGGAGAGGCAGGAGGGCTGGGAGGCCGTTGAACATTGATGTAGCCTGATTTGATTTTCACAAGACCACTTGCTCCTCTGAGGAGAAGGCTACCATGGGGTGGCGATGACCATGCCAGGCAGTTTCTCTCCCATTTGCTCCTTGGGAATTTTCTTCCCTTTCCCTTTCATTCTACAATGCTCATGGGGGGGAAGATAGACCACAGCAGCAAAACAGCACCTTGTTAGCCACTCTCAAAGGCACCATTCGGTGGCATCCATCACACACAGTTGCCAGCCGCCACTTCTATCAGTTTCCCAAACCTTTCATCGCCCTGACAGAAACTTGGGACCCGTGAAGCAGTAGCGCCCCATTCCCACATCCGCCTAGCCCACTGGCGTGACCAAGATGCTTTCCACGCCTGGCTCTCCTGTAGGAGTTTCACATAAGGGAAATCCTACCCTATTTGCCCTTGTGCGTTCAGCTCATGTCGCTCAGCAGCAGGTTTTCCTCCGTGTCCTAGCACGTTGCAGAACGTCATGCCTGTGTGTGGCAGGACAGTATGTCATTGTCTGCACATGTCACATGCTGTTCGTCCCTTCATCTGTTGATGACCCGGGTTGCTTTCACCTTGTGAACCGAGTTGCAGCGTACCTGGGTGAGAGCATCGGTCTGCGTTCCTGCGAGCAGTTCTTTGGGCGCCTACCCAGGGGTGGGGTGGCTGGGTCGTATGTCAATTCTTTCTTGCTTTCCTGCCTTCTGAGCTTTGGTTTGGGGGTAAAGTCTGCCATTTTGGTCTCGTGTGGTGGATGTGGTTGATGATGGTCTCTGAAGGGTGTTATAAAGTTTATAGGCCTATCTCTATAGGCCTGGCTCTCCTTTGGCTGAAAGAGGACCCTCAGGGGTGGGTTCTGGTATAGGCTTGAAGGGTACCTAAGGGTTCCAGTCCCCAGGGTTTCTGCTAGTTGCTCACAGGCCAGTAAGTCTGGTCATTTTTAAATGATTTTGAATTGGGTTCTACTTTTTCTTCTCTTACTCTCTGCCTGGCACTGTCTGTGGTGGTGTTGATCATAGCCACTGGTGGTGGCAGCCGGTTGCCTGGTCTCAGGGCAGTGGAGGCTGGGGCTCACATGACCCCTTAGTCCTTTGGACTTGTTTAGGCTATCATTCTGACCAGCAAAGGAAAGGTGTGGGAAGGAAGAAAGAAAATCGAGTGAGAAAAGGCCAATGCCCAACCTTCTTATGAATCACCTAGTTTTTCTTAAAAATCCAGATCGCTAGACCCCAGTCTTATTGAACCTGATTCTCTAGAGCCCAGGAATCTGACTCTTCGATATATTGATGTTTGTGCATCAGGGACTTCCGGCGGAGAGGATCCCTTACCACACAGGCACTTTGAACTTCTTTGTTCCTTCCCAGAGCTAATGAATTCGTTCCTTCTGGGTGACAACCCATCTTTCTGTGCTTCCTTCTTCCTGACTTCCTCCCACATCTGAGCTCTGAGGCTGGAGAGGTCAAAGACACCCACAGGAGGGCCCCAAACGCCAGGTGTACGATCTCAGATTAAACCGAGGGCAGCTGGAGAACTGACTGGTTAGAGAGCGTCTGCCTTCTACACTGCTCTAGAATCAGTCCCTCTCTTTCACACTGTCACAGCCCTACCTCAGGCCACCCTCAAGTCTTGTAAGGACTTCTTCAATGGCTCTCAGCTTCTGGTTTTACTCTAAACAACAACCAAACAGTCTTGGTGGGTTCGCCAACAGTCTACCATTTAATTCAAGCTCTTTGAGCATTTGAAGCCTGCTCTCGTGGTCTCCTGTGACTTCTCTAGCTTCATCCGCCGATGAGGCACCACATTTCTGAACACCTGAACTCCTAGACTCCCTCCCCCCTCCCCACCGCCTTCTGTCACCTTTGAGCCCTGGCTCAGAATGCTCTGAGTGTGGGGTGCCCTGAATTACCCACATACCTTTCCGTGTCATCTCCTATCTAGAGAGTCTTGACACCTTCCTTCCAATAATGCACTCCCTTATGCATCAAATAGACTGCCCCTCCAAACGGGTCCCCACATATTCTCCCTTCTGCCCACCTTGCTTATGCCTGGGGCCTTATCCAGTCTCACTGGCTGGCAGCGGCTGGGCTATGCTCACTTCCAGCTTAGCGACTGTTGCCGGAAGGGCGGAGGCCCCTGCGACGGCACTCAGCAATTAAAGGGGGCCTGGTGCATTGAGGTTGGACAGATCTGGGTGAGAATGTCAGTACATTCTTCAGCCACTTGCTCTTGGACAGGTCATTCGCATCCTGGGCCTCCCATTTATTTCCCCGTCAAAAACTCCTACGTCACTCTGATGCAGGCTGCCTGCTTAACGATAGACACCGGGGAATGATTGATCCTCGCTCTGGGACAGAGGATGGAAAGGCATGAACAAGAGTCAGGACTGGAGATGGATGGGGAGGTTGCAGACCTCCCCACCCCACCATGCAGAGTTCTTGGGTTTCTTAAAGTGCCCTTGGCCACCTATCAGTATAGTAGTAACTCCAATTCGCGTGTGCACACGCGTCAGGACGGTAGTTACTCCAATTTGGTGTGTGTGAGTGTGTGTGTAATAGACCAAAGGCCGTTAAAGCCGAGCCCTTCCCCCAACGGCGTGACTGGACCCCAGCCCAGTGACATCACAATCTCTGAGGAGGGGGTGGGGGTTGGCAAGGCGCCGCTGGGGAAACGGACCTCCTCACTTCTCCCCAGGACGCTCCAGGCTGTGGATGGTGAGAAGGTGAGACAGCAAGGCAAATGGCGACCAGGGCCAGTCTCAGCCCCAAGCCCATGGGAGCCGCTCAGGGGGACCCTGGAGAGAGCGAGGTGCTGGCGGGCTCCGAGGCCGGCCCGCAGCTGAAGGCCAAGGCCCGCAAGGTGCGCAAGGTCAAGGCGCTCATCGTGGATCTGGGCTCCCAGTACTGCAAGTGCGGCTATGGCGGTGAGCCGCGGCCCACCTACTTCATCTCCACCACGGTGGGCCGCCGCTGCCCGGAGGCGGCGCACGCGGGCGACACGGGCCCGCAGACCTACGTGGGCCACCAGCTGCTGCACACCGAGGTGCCCGTGAAGCTGGTGAACCCGCTGAAGCAGGGCATCGTGGTGGACTGGGACTGCGTGCAGAGCATCTGGGAGTACATCTTCCACACGGCCATGAAGATCGCCCCCGAGGAGCACGCCGTGCTGGTCTCCGACCCGCCCTTCAGCCCCACGAGCCACCGCGAGAAGTACGCGGAGCTCCTGTTCGAGACCTTCGGCATCCCGGCCATGCACATCACGTCGCAGGCGCTGCTGTCCATCTACTCCTACGGCAAGACCTCGGGGCTGGTGGTGGAGAGCGGCCACGGCGTCTCGCACGTGGTGCCCATCTCCGAGGGCGACCTGCTGCCCGGCCTGAGCCAGCGCGCCGACTACGCGGGGGGCGAGCTCACCAACCACCTGATGCGGCTGCTCAACGAGGCGGGCCACGCCTTCGGCGACGACCACCTGCACATCATGGAGCACATCAAGAAGAAGTGCTGCTACGCCGCGCTCGTCCCCGAGCACGAGCTCCGCCTGCCGCTGGAGCAGCTGCGGGTGGACTACGAGCTCCCCGACGGCAAGCGCATCACCATCGGCCAGGAGCGCTTCCGCTGCGCCGAGATGCTCTTCCAGCCCTCCCTGGTGGGCTGCAGCCAGCCGGGCCTCCCTGCGCTCACGGCCGCCTGCCTGGGCCGCTGCCAGGAGGCGGGTTTCAAGGAGGAGATGGCCGCCAACGTGCTGCTCTGCGGCGGCTGCACCATGCTGGACGGCTTCCCCGAGCGCTTCCAGAGGGAGCTGAGCCTCCTCTGCCCGGGGGACAGCCTCGCCGTAGCCGCGTCGCAGGAGAGGAAGACGTCAGTGTGGATCGGCGGCTCCATCCTGGCCTCCCTGCAGGCCTTCCAGCAGCTCTGGGTCAGCAAGGAAGAGTTCCAGGAGCGAGGCAGCACCGCCATCTACAGCAAATGCTGAGCAGCAGGACTTCTGCTCGGCAAGCCTCGAGGCACTAGATACACATTTACACAATATTCCATAAAGGCTTTAACTTGCCTGGCCTGTCTTCTAGTCTTTTGTTCTGCCCTGATAGCATACGGCAGGGGGGAGTGGGGCTTAGACGAATTCCCAAGCTGCTGGCCTGGTAGTGGTGGTGGTTGTGTGTGTGTG